TTAAGATGAGAATTTATTTCCCTTTTACTTCTCCCACACTTTGTATATATACATATGTATTAAGCTCACTAGAGTAAAATACAAATATCAAAAAGTACTAAAAAAATCTGTAACAGAAACAAATCCTTCCAAGGCTCTGATGATGTGATAAAAAAGTAGAATAATGAAACTCACTCATTCATTCCTCCTTTTTGAGACTATTTGTACATACAGTTTTCTCCCCTAAAGTTAAGAAAAGTTAAGCTAATTAAGTCCCAAGCTCCTACAATAACTATCAGGAAACTGACAATTTTTTTCAAAATAATTTGTGTACTCTGGTTTTCTCTACCCCTTACTAAATGCAGATAGTGGGATAAAATTTCTTTCTTAATAAATGAAATATTAAGTTTGTGACATTCAGTAATTCTTTAAATTTTTAAATAACACCAAATTTAATAAAATGGGATGTACCTTATTTTCAGTTCCAATAAACAATAAAAATGGTAAATAACCCTTTTCACCAACTTTTACTTACATAATCAGTATCTCTGAATTATAGATGAATTAATCTGAAATAATTAAGGAAAATAGAAATATCTATTAGATTGAAAAATATGACTGATTTGAACAGCTGACAAAATCAGATTTTAACCATTCATTTATTATCATCTGTGTTCCTTATAAATATACTTCTTGCTTTATGTTTATATTAGTTCAACTGACTACAACTCAGATTAATTTTCACGCTATTTTTTGTTGTAATATGAAAAATGCCAACAGCACTTTTTGAGATCTAAGTTAAAATTGAGGCTGGCTCAGTTCCATGGGGCTGGTCTGCAGAAGGTTTTATTGGAGATGAGAGCTGTGTTGCTGTGGTTGTCTATCATATCTTGTTTATTAAAAAATGAAAAACATAAATGCTAGCAGGTATTAAAGTTGTCCACTAACTTTCCTCCACTTGTTTCCCCAAAGGTTCTTTGTTCTCATTTGACATCACTAGAGCAGTCCGTGTAAAATAAGATTTAATTTGAGTGTATTTATAGACTAGATGTCTCTGTTATACCCTACCTGGCTTTTGACTTTTGTGCCCTGTGCATTCTTAGCTTCAAATCACTGACTCAGATTGTGGTCTCAGAAACTGTGTGGGGTATCAGGATCATTGGGTCCCTCTAGGAATTAAAAGCAAACAATCGAATGCCTTTTGGCAATGATTAACTATACAAATATTAGTAGTTCTGGGCAGGCCCCTTTCCTTTCTGGAAGAATGCTCCAGGCAGGCAGCATTCCTGAGAATATTGGTTTCCGGTCAGATAGACACTTTCCATTCAAAGTTGCTCCCCAGTATTTACAGGGCCTTTGGTTTGGGGATGCTTACTATTCTAATGTTTGAAACTTCAGATACTTCTGGATAGGCTTTTGGGATTTGGTTGCTTTTTACCTTACCTATCTCACTTTTCTAATGGGTGCACAGCTTATCCTTATGGGAAAGTTCTGAGGACTACATTGATTGAGATGTCTTATATGAAGTGCTGATCTTGATGGCTATCTCATGCAAGCTTGGCTGTATGTGATTTCCTCTCCACCTTTCTTCCTTAGAAGTTTAACCTTCAATTTTCACTAGTTTATTGTAAGTTTATAAGACAAATGAACAAAGATAGTTATACTAGTAGTCTTTACTTCTGAGTTGCCTTCTGTGCTTACTTGTATACAATGTTGATATCAAAATCAATTGTTTCTGGTATTTGAGTTTCAGTGTTTGGCTTTGAGTGTATTTATTTGTCAGAAATTGGCACATGTCTGACATGTGGAGGAGAGAAAAAGCCTGTACTTTGGGGAACACTTCATCAAGTGTTTTTGTTTTTCAGATCTCTGTCTTTCTACCTGTGTCTCTTTCTGTTTGTCTGGCTCTCTTCTTATCAACTCAAAACCGAGATTTCCCTGCCTCCACCAATGTTGGGACCTTAGAAAACAAACCTTAACAGAACTATTGAGAAGAGGGAAGCCAGGGGGGTGGGATCTAGGCTCCGTATAGATATGCAACGTTATAGGCACTCAACAGACGTTAATAAGTACCTCTTCCTATTGTTTTGAGAAAACTGCAGTTGATTTGGGTGTGAACTATAATGGCCAGTGAAAGGACCTTGTACCTAAGCAGGGTGTGTTTTAAAGAGAAGAAGAACTGAGTATTGAGCAAAATGATAACTGCTTTTTTACAACAAACTTAGTCCCATTTTTAAAGGCTGTCATCCCATTAAATGACAAGCTCCCTGGTGTCCTTGTCCTGTGCTTTCTTGGCAGCCTTTGCCATGCATTGCTGCGCACACAGGAAAGTTTCAATAGATCCCTGTTGACTGAAACCAAACATTTGGAGATCTTGAGGAAAGCATTGTAGAAGGGGTGAAAGGAAAGCTGTAGGCAGACAAGACAGAGGAAGAATTAAATATAGAAAGCACCCAGGGAGCCAGACAAGACCAAGGTTGGTGAGCAACTAACATTTTTAAGTTCTCCTGAGGGGGGGAAAAAATGGACAGAAGAGAATTTCTAATTTGAAGAGTTAATTAACCAAATTATAAGATTTCTAAAATATCCCTCTCATTAGAGTTGTAATTTTGAGACTTTACAAAAAAAATAGTGAAGATACTCTGATTTGTGCTGTGAATCTGTTTAGATTTTGATTTGTACAGTAGATGGTTTTTTTTTTGGTGGGATACAATCTGTTTTAGTTTATGAGCCTTTTAAATGCTTTTTAATTCTAAACAGCCTCTTTGTGATGCTAAAGGGGAAAACCAGCAAGTTTGAATTCCCCTGTGGTCTCAGTGGATATGTTTATTTGATTTTCTTGAAGGTAGAATTAGGTGGTAAAAAACGAACAAGAAAACCTCACCAACACAATGAGAGCAGGCTAAAACATCAAAAAAGCAAAAAACAAACAAACCAAACTTCAGTTATAGAACACGTTCAGTGCAAAGAACATCTTTAAAAGGTGAGAATAGGATTTTTTAGAAAGTGTGATGGATGCCCAGCAATGGACAAAGACAAACAAAAGTATCAGTGGCTGTCATGATGCAAGGATCACTTGATAATAATTAATAAACATTGACTCTTCTTAGCCAAGTGACCAGTATTATTTCACAGTTGACTGTGTTGAGGGCAGAGGCAATGACCTTTGTCCCAAATTTTAATAATTTAACCGAAGTTTTACATTAAGTCAAAAGCTAATTGGGAGAAAATTAGTGTTTCTTTGTGGGGAGTGCAGAGTAGTACAACTAATTGCATGTATAAAAGCCTTCCTGAGGTTGTGTTTGCCTGTTCTTTTTTGATTTAGAAAATTTAATCCACAGTAATTTTCTGCTATCTGTAAGAGGGAAAATGTGCCAGTGAAATGCATTCAGCTAACTTTAAATGTCAAAGCTGTTGGCGATCTTTTTAACATCCAGTAATGACAAACTCTCAATTTCATCACAGTATTCAGAAATTCACTAGCAACTTGTTGCAGATATCAGCACAGACAAATCTCACAATATTTGTGCTCTGGAAGAAGAAGCAGTAGTTTGATGTTTTTGTTGTGGTGGTTGTTTTATTGTTTTGTAATTCTTTCTGTTACTTTACTATTTGAGTCATTGAATATTTAACAAATAGGAGTTAGAGAAAAATAGAAAAATCACTACTTTTTTTTCTTTCTAACGAGATGGGCAATAAAAAATGCATTAAATAAACCTCAGCAAAATAGGAACCTAAGCTAATAGTGATTTATAAGTTATTTTTAGATCCAGGGAGAGTTTGTTTTCAGATAAATTACTGTCAAGGAAAAGAACTGAGCTGGTTTTGAAAGTCTGTGGGGCTTGAAATTTTATGAAAATATGTATACTCACCAAGATCCACACACGTCCCATTGGAACTTGGAAGGGTTAAGCAGTGACAGTTTGTTATGTGTTCAGTATCTACTGTCATCATAAAACAGTTGCACCTGCATTAGCCCTCATTGTCTCAAGGTGGGCTGAAAAAAATTATAAAACAAACCTGGAGAAATGAATATTTCTCCTAATAATATGCTGCTATTTTTCCTTCAATCTGTGGGCATTCTTGATTCCAAACTGTACAACCCAGGGCAGTAGGGTTGGAATCCTGTGTTTATTTTTGAATAAACCTAAGGCACCCTAAGGCAGTTAGAGAGGAAATGCTACATGTATGAAAAAAAGGCAGCTGAGAATCTAAGCTGTTGTGGGCTCGGCAGCAGCAACTGTATTTACTAACATTTGTTTTCTGGAGCCTAGGAAAGAAATAGCAATCATTAGAAGGACAGGGTTTGTGGCTTGCTGTCCTTATATGGAGCAAAGCAAACTGCAGTAACAGTTCAGGAGCTGGTGTTCCCTACTGTCACGGGGACAGTTGATTCCTAGGTGGAGGAGTTTGTTTATACCTTAACAAATTACAGGATATTTTGTTGATTAAACAAGCCAAAAAAGATGCCTTGTTGGCTGCTTTCAAACACTCCCCCCGATTAGAAAATGTCTCATAAAAATGCATCATGTGACAAGCTCCTTGCATTAGTTCCAAACTGAGTCTGGGTCTACTCTTGGAGATCCTAGAGTCCTTAGAGTATACATTTTAGCCAAGAGTATAGTTACTTTGCCATGGATCAGGGAGCTTTGCCACTTGCTTGTTTTGGAAGAAAAATAAATTAAAAAAAGATTGCAGGGGATTTTGGTTATTATATGGCCAGGGCTCCGTTAGAATCTCTGGCATTCAAAGCTGGCTTTAATCACAGCATGATGCTTGAAGCCTCCAAAGTCCAAGTGCTTCCTTTCTTTTTCTTTCTTTCTCTCTCTCTCTTTTTGTAAGCGTTACTTCACTGAGGCAGAGGGCTGCCTTTGAGTGACGTCACGAGTTTGAGCAGCAAGCTGCACAGGAGAAGGGAGGCTGGGTGAGTGACAGCCCAGCCTACTTTTTAATAGCTTTGTCATGTGACTGGGGACTGTAGTAAGACAGGTGCCTTCAGTTCACTCTCAGTAAGGGGCTGGTTGCCTGCATGAGTGTGTGCTCTGTGTCACTGTGGATTGGAGCAGAAAAAGCTTGACTGGCGTCATTCAGAAGCTGGATGGCGTGGGACATGTGCAGCCAGGACTCTGTATGGAGTGACATCGAGGTGAGCTGGGCGGGCTGGGCTTTGCAGGACTGAAGCTTCCCTGAGACGCAGTTATTCCTGTAAGGGGGGATGGGCTTGGGAGAAAGGAGAGCAGGCAGAAAAGTAGCCAGGAAGGAGCTCTAGGAGGGGAATCTCAATCTTATCTTAACTCCAGTAAGTTTGCTATTTTAAGGTGGCTCTGAGGTGCCTTGAGCAAATCAAAGCTTAGTTGTTGTCATCAGTGTCTGTAGCAGTTAGAAACTCTTCCCATGTGTCATTGGCTCTGTTTCTGCTCAGATGCAATATTTATGCTCTAAGATATTGATATGAATCAGAAGCTGAGGTCTTTCCAATGGTGTTTAGTGGCCTGCTTGGAAAAATGCCATTTCTATTTAATAAGAAAATGAAAATAAACATTAAAATGGATGTGTTCAAATATAGTCGTTTTGACTCTAGTCCGGATTTTTTCCCCTACTCTCTCTCTGTTCATCAGACAGAGAACTTACAAAACCCTCAATAATCCTGCTGGGCTATTTTAGATAGCTTTTCCCACAGAACCCCAAACAAGGGTGCAGCTACCTCTAAAACTCCTGTATGTGGTAGGAAGATTTGGCTCGCAGGTTTTTCACAAAGCCTGAAAGTGCATGGTTTTGCGTGAGCGCCAGTGGCAGGGAAGCCAATGGTTAAATCTCCCTGTACCACGGAGAGCTGCCTGAAGCGGAGGAGAGAATAGAGTTTATGCAGGACTGTGTGTGGAGCTGCTCGCTGCTTGTGTAAAAATAGATGGCAATATATCAATTCCACAGTCTTGGCTGGCTACAATTCATAAAGGGGGGAAAAACTGCAAGCGTTTTCCTCGTAATCTCTGGAGTCTAGAGCGGGGGACAGAGGACCTCGGCGTGTTTGCATTCAGCACAATGGAATGTTCTCGGAAAGTTCGGGCAACTTGGGAAACAAGCAAAACTTTCTGTGGACTCTGGTGAGATGAACCCGAATTGAATTGCACAGAGGATCCGAGCTACTAACAATGAATCTGGCAGAGGATTGCCAGGGCTTCCTCCTCCGGGTAGCTGGGGGCACATAGGGTAAGGGGGGGGGGAGGATCAAGTGCCACACGTGATTTGATTAAATAAGATGTCCATGTGGTGCAATGATACACATCTAAAGTGAAAATAATTTGACCAAGGCCGTCTGTGAATGCATTTTTCCTATCTAGTGAGGCGTGCCCTGGATTCTTAACTCTTTGCTGGGTTGGCAAAAATGTTAGCTTCTTTTGCCCTCTCTTGGCTTGGCAGATCTTAGTTGTGGGTTGTAATTGTGCTTATCTTGTTGTGATTTCTTGGTAAGGCAGAATAGATATGGATAATTTATATGTCCTGTAGCTATTAAGAGTCAGAATTCTAAGTGGCTTCAAAGTCCTAATTGTTTGAGTAGCCAGAGTGTCCTGTGGGTGGTTGTCTGGCTGGCACCGTGAGTCTCAGCTGCTGTACTTTCATTTTTCCGTCATGTATTATTCCTGATGCTGCTGGCTGATTGAGGAACAGGATCAGATGGAAATAAGGAGGATTTACTTTAATCATCAGAATTCCTGCATTCATTTGCCAATGTAGAGGCTTTTAGAGTCTTGGCCTTTTACATTTTTTTCTTAAGGAGGAGGTGTCTCGTGCTAATTTTCCTGCCGTGGATTGAGTCTTGGGTCAGCTGTGACTGGCTAGTCGCTCTGGCACGGCAGGCAGCCAGCTGCTAGAAGCCCTGCCTTCGTGGCAGTGGCTCTGGGAATCACCTCCGCCAGTCTGAAATATTACGAGCAGCAGGTAGTGTAGGCAGCTTTCATTTTTTGAATCATTAATATTTGCTGTCATCCTAAAACCTATTATGCCCTTTTGCACATAATGACAGGACAACACGTTGGTTAATAAAGGCCCATATCACCGGAGCTACTCAGAGTCCCTGGTGTTTCACAATTTAATGAAGGTGGTTTTCCATAAGGTTGCTAAGATTGATAGAGACAATTCACGTGACACACACACTACCAAGATTGTCATTCTTTCCTGCCTCCCTCTCCACCCTTTTCCCTTCTCTTCACTAATTCTTTTTAAGAAGTTAAGATTCTTTTATTCATTAATATAATTAATGTGGCCGAGTCCACTCTTTCTTTAAAATTTACCATCAATGGCACCAAAACCTCCAAAAGGTTAATGGAGAATTATACTTAATTATAATGATTCATTATCATCGGTGCAGTTAAGCTAATTTATTGTCTGCTCCTTAACTAAGAGAAAAGTCTGTTGGGGTGAAATAACGTACAATAATTAGCCTTTTGTGTTTAGTGACTGCTTTATCCTCTTAAATCGTATTATAAAATTAAGGCTACAGTTGTGAAGTAGCTGTCATAGTTACAAAGAGGCATAGAACGAGTCTGTGCAATTGCATGAAGCACACCTGTTACAACTGTATAGAGGAGCTGTAAATACCAGCTTGTCAGACAAGGACAGTTACAGGGCTCGGACTGTTAAGTCTGGCATCATCGAAAGGCCAAATATAAATTAATAACAGGAACACTTGCTACTACTAATGTGTTTTAGATTAGAGTAATGCCACATTCAGAAGCACACTGATTCTACCAGCATGTCACCATTGGCAAGGGCAGAGGCACTTTTTGGAACCATAACATACAGAGGGGGGGGGGAGAGAGAGAGAGAGAGAGAGAGAGAGAGAGAGAGAGAGAGAGAGAGAGAGAGAGAGAGAGAGAGAGAGGGAGGGAGGGAGGGAGGGAGGGAGGGAGGGAGGGAGGGAGGGAGAGAGAGAGAGAGAAGAAAGAGAGAAATACAAAACAGTAGTAAAATACACAAATTGATCTAGTCTATTCAATGATTGTCAGAATTTATTTCCAAGTACATATTTCTGGAAGGTTAAAGGGTTTTGAACAAGTCATGCCTGGAAAGGGCAGTTGAAGAGAGAGATGGTAAGCAGTTGTCCACCAATCAGTCAGTGTGACATTTTCTCATTCCAAGACATGGGTTTGAGCTCCACAATCAGCACTTAAGCCAGAGCTAGACAGCTTACATTTTCTAGCTTAGTTCTAGTTTTTGATGCTGTTTTGTTATTTATGCTTTACTTTTTAAAGGACTACCCAGCCTATGAAATCTTAGTGCTTTTGCACCATTGACAAAATTCTCTTCTTGCCTTCGCATTGATGGTGTCAAGGAAGAGTTAACACTGTTTGTGTTTGGAGGATAAGCAGTGTGGGCAAAGACAGAGCCCGGGAAGTGTTACACCCATAACAAAACAGGAACATTGGACCAGGACAAGATCTACTCTTCAGCCCAGCCTCCACTTAGAAATCCAGTGAAGTATGCCTATCTGTAACTTTGCACTAACTCAGATAGTAAAAAGAAAAGCCCAATAAAATGATAAGGCAGGAATGTTGGTAGAAAGGACAGCCCTTTCTTTGCATTGCCATGTGCCTGCTGCTTGGGTGTCACTGGAGCCTGATGGTCTTTGGGAAGCAGTGCAATGATTTGTAGGCTCCTCCCACCTGCCACTTACCAACTGCTGACTCCATTACCCAGTGCCTACTTCTCAGAGTGTGGCTTATGACTGCACTGCTGCATATGACCCGTGCAATGTGCCTGCCAAGGATAACAGGGTGCACCAGAAAAAAAATCTGCATAACTTGTTTTATTTAAAATTTAAATGACAAGGAAGGGCCTGATGTGAACAACTCCACTGCATCTCCCATGACCTTAGAAGCTCGGGGCATCAGGGTCCCACGTCTGAGTGTGAGACCCCTGACTCAGACTCCTAGCTTGCAGTGGATAAGGCCCTGGTGAATCTGACGTTATCCGGCCCCTGCAGCATGAGTTTCTGCAGAATTCTTTACAGTGTGCAGACAAATCAGCAGTGACAAGTCTAGGAGACTACCTCCATGGATAAGAGGGGCCACTTTCCTTAGGAAGCAACAGATGGGACAGTTACAACACTACCTTCTTCCTCCCAGAAGATGAAATAACATAACAACTTAAAATACTGTTGTTGATAAGTCCAGAAACAGTAGTGAATATATTAACTCTTTCAATGTAATAAAATCATTTTTAAAACTCTAAACAGAAAAAGTTACTTTGAAATCACTTGGAGCATAGTTTAGATATACCTAAGTAATGAACAAAATATAAGGACCGTGTGTAGCACTATTGTGGCTTTTCTTAACCAAGCGCCAGGCCATCCCCCCTCCCAACCTAACTTTCAAATTACTCACATTGAAAGATATAAAGGCCATATAGAAAACATATGATTTTTTGTTTTTCCATCTCAAGGAACTGGCTTTTGACCTGTTAAGGATGAACTCTATAAATTAATCAAAAGTCAAGTGAGAGTGAATGATTTAAGTAACAATTCAAGAGAAGCAGAGATGAATTAAAGGACTTTCATCTTTAGTTGCTAAATGAATTATATGGATTGCAATGCTTGAAAGAACACAAGTGGAGAAAGTTTTCTGAGTATAATTCTTGTGTTTTATTTTCATTTAAGAGTTGCTTATTGAGTGTCCATTAATGTGATGACAATTCCAAGGTACAATCAAGCTGGCATCCTTCTGTCAGAGTGTAGAGTAGTTTTTGCATATATTTAACCATAAGACAATCTGAAACTTGGTAAATGCTAACAATCCAATAGGAATGGACAAATTCCATTGATTTCTAACTGGAGGAATCACAGAAGGGTTCATGGAAGCTTGGCATTTATCATGGATTTCTAGGTAGAGTTTTGGATGAAATAAGTCAGGCAATGTATCCTTTGGGAGCCAAGTGAGAAAAGAATTTAGGGTGTTTCCATTGGTGATTAAGGCCCCAGAGGCCAGCTTTGGTGATGTCTTTGAATTAACCAGCTTAATTCCTATCACATGCTATTACAGTTTAATAAATTCCTGCAGTTAATGAAAGATTTTGTTTTTCTTTTCTGCCTCCCTGCAGTGTGCTGCTCTGGTTGGGGAAGACCAGCCTCTTTGCCCAGATCTTCCTGAACTTGATCTTTCTGAACTAGATGTGAATGACTTGGATACAGACAGCTTTCTGGGTGGGCTCAAGTGGTGCAGCGACCAATCAGAAATCATATCAAACCAGTACAACAATGAGCCTTCAAACATATTTGAGGTAAGGACCTCTTTTGGAAAAATTCATTTCTTATTGACCCTGGCTTGGGCCAAACTGACATGGTAATAGTCCTGAAAGTATAATGGGGTCTCACTTTGCTGTCATTAAGAAACTTTTCATCATGCTGAGATAGTTTCTATTTTTCGTAAAATAGTATTTGGAAAACAAATGGATTTTTTTGTTTTAAGAATTAAGAGGCTAAGAACTGACAACTGTGCACTAAGCTGTGTTGAAATACAAGGGGTTGTGAAAGAATTTGTGATAGAGAAGAACAAAATTCTAAACCTGTTTATGCCTATTTCCTACAGAAAGTAACTTAGCAATAAATGGTATCTAATATAAATTAGTATATATATACATATGCACATACATATATATGTATTTATATACATACATATGAAGGCATTTCTTTTGAGCTAAAGGAGTAGGTATCTACTTTTGTTTTACCAAGTAAGTGAACAGTTTTTATTATTACTCTTGTATCTTTGCTTTATACCCCTAATTTCTTTGTATGATGGAAACTTCTAAGCTCAACAAATCTAATATATACTTATAAATTAGTCAAAATTCATTTACCCTTCAGTGGTGAAAATTACCTCCCAGACTCTAGACTCTTATTTGAGCGTACCCTATAATAAAGAATGTTAATCTACTCCTATTAAAGTGTTACTTAGAGAAAAGAGGTTCTTTCTCACAAGATCAGCATTCATTTGCTTGAAAATGAATCATTTATTATAGAGACAAACATTTAGTGAGTACTCTGACACGTAAATTGAATAAAGACTGCCAAATCAACTAGCTTTCAATATCAAAACCACCAGTACCTTCGTCATCTAACATTTTCTGAGCACCTGCTACACGCCAGGCTGTTTACAAAACTTCTGTTAACCAACCATGAAGGCATTTATTGGGTGTCTTCAATGTTGTTTGATTGAAATGTTGGGTCTTTAAGAAAGCCAATTTTACAGTATTGAATCCACCCCTCCCACCAGCACAGAAGATACTGAATAAATGACTGTTAAATAAGTAAATGATGAATATAATTATGTCTATAACCTTAACAATAGCAACAACTATGGCCAAATTTTGAAACACTCCTGCTTTCTGTATGTCACCTCACTCATCAGGCAAAGCAACCTATTATTGTTTTACAATCATTCCTGTTTTACATATGCAGGCACTGAGTTTCAGAGAGGTTATGTGATTTTTTTTCCAAATCACACAGTTGACAAATGAAGACCTGGTATCTGAATTTCTAAATTTATCTCACTTCAAAGTCTATATCATTGATAAAAATAGGGAGACAGTGAATTTGGGTGACAGCCATCCTTTACAAAGAAGTAACAAGCTGCTTCTTGGCCCAATATATTTAAAAATAGAACAGAATATTTACTTTCTGTGTTGGTCGACATGGCACAGGTAGCTGGTGAGCCCAAGGGGCTGTCAGTTCTGCTGATGGGTAAGATTTTAAAAATATGTGTGGAGTATTAACAGGGTCTTAAAAGAATGCTTAAAGTAGGAAAGTTCAGACTGAGGAGGGACAGACAGCAAAGTGGAGGAAACACGTAAGGTCTGTGGTTAGCTACACTTTCCCAGGCTTGTAAGTGGGTCTTAGAAAGTTCATGTGAGGATTGGCTGGTTAGAACTGGTTAACTGAAATTCCTCATTCAATACGCTTGTCAGGTTACAGGCTCATTCTAAGTCATGCAGCATTAAGTAAACAGTACTTTAAAAAATGTCCATCTCTATAGACCTCGTAACTAATAGTCAGCCTCAACTGTTCCATACTGGGTGAAGGCCATGTGTTTTGTAGATGGTGGTTTGAGAATGAGTAAAAGGAAGTGATGTGACAATCAGTATCTGACAGGTTTCATACACTACTTTGTCTATGACCCTATGTCTCCATATTTCTTGCTGTGGTTTCTGTATGGTGTACTTCCCATTTATAGCTTCAGGGCTTGCCTCAGTAGCTAGTCAGTTATCTATATATAGATGCCCAATCTATGTAACGACCTTCCTTTTGTTTCCCCGATAGAACTTCCTACCACTGATAGAATTGTTTTCAGTGCTCTAAAACTTGAGGTTCATTTAATTTAATCTCTCATTTGGTCATTTTAAACCAATGATTCTCAACCAAAGGCAATTTTGCCTCCCAGGGGACATTTGACAGTGTCTGGAGGTATGTTTGTTTGTTATGAGTGGGCGTAAGGTGAAGCTACTGGCCTTTAGTGGGTAGAGACTGGGCATGGTGCTAAATATCTTACAATGCACAGGACACCACAACAAAGAGCTGATTTTTAAATAACAGTAGTGGTAAGTTTGTGTTATCTTTGTTTCTTTGTGTTAGTAAAATTCCCCTTTATGAAGTTGTAAAGATGGATTGGTCAGTTTGATGAGACAAAGCATAGTGAGATTCTGGATGTAAAGATTGAAAGTGTCATAGTGAAGCCCATTAATTTTGCAATTAATGTATATTAATAAAGATACAGAATGAGAAGTCATAAAATTAAGATGCCTGAGCCTCAGGACTAATATGTCAGGTATTCTCTTAGTGATGGCAAAAGTTAGGGTTTAGATAAGTCCCTATGAGAGTTTGCTCTGATGTCACAGAAGCCGTTCTTTTCTGTCTAGGCAAAGGGTAAGGTCATATGTGGCAACACTCTCACCAAGAGCAGCAACATCAGGAGATTTGCATAGCATTCTGACTTCTGACTCTTTGCCCTCTAGTGTTAAACTCAGATGTCTCCCTCATCACATTTGAGAAGGCCTTGGTCTTGAGCAAGCCAGTCAGGGTTCTGCCTGCACCGACCTGCCAATAGCAAGTGTTGTCTGCCTCTGACTCCCTGGATAAAATAAGGCATCAAAGAGTTAAACACTTCCCTGCTCAAGAACCATGTTCATGACAGTGCTGGAAATTGGCCAAGGGATTTCTGAATTGTCATCAAAGCAGAAAGTAAGATTTAGAGTTACATAAATTTCAGAATGTTCAAACTTTGGGAGTGCCTAGACAGCTCTTTCTTCTGCCTCTTCCATACAGTCAAATCTAAGTTTCATTTTTCCCCAACTTCAGAAACTTAAAATAAGTAGGAATACAAAAAAAGGATGAAGTTGAATGTCACAATTTGGGAAAGAGTAAATTCTGAATGGGAGTCAAGCTGAGCCAGTGTGCAACTATACACGTCTGTTGAGTAACTGGACTCACAAACAGAAGTTTTTGCTTGCACAACCTATGGTTGGATGTGTAAATGGAGGTGATCAGGTGTAATTCAGAAGCCCTTTGAAGAACAGGGCTCAGGGCCTGTAGGGGTTGCCTCCAGTGACTCTGACCCACGTGTAGGGAAAACAGGATGCTGTCCCTGGACTGACTGGGAGCAAGATTTATGTTTCAGAATATTGCAACATAACTTCCTTCCCCCTGTTGCCTTTGTGTATTGTTTGAAGGAGGAGAATAAAGGATTGCTTTTACAGCACGGCAGTATTTAAAGATGGGTGGCATGGAGTTCGTTTAAATAGCACTGGGGCCTTTCTAGGTCACTGTGGGCCACCCTGTCTGTCCTTTATTTTAACACCTGCTTGAATGCCTCTGTGATACAATTGAATGAGCATCTTTCATTCATTCACTTGGCCTTCTGAATGCAGCTACTTGGGGTTCCTTAGAATGGTGGCAAGTGAGAATGTGCTTGTCTTGAGTTCACTGCTCACAAGGCCCACGGGACTCCACAGCTGTGGCCGGTATTCTTGTTTGGTAATGACTTGAACTCTCAGCAAGGTCTGAGACTCTGAACTTGTGTAGGCGGACAAGGGTATTGTCTGTGTGTGAGGTGTCCTGGTACATGCTATCTTGCAAGGAAGTGAGTGGTAGAAGCTTTCAAGATTACATTATCATCCTGGTGGGAGTATACCTAATCTTGTATTTTTTTTCTTTTGGTTTTCAGTTACATATTAAGTTTTCAAGATTGGGCATATTATACACCTATCAAAAAAGTGAAAATGAACAAACTTGGTAATTCAATAGACACAGCATTTTGAGAGCTAGAAGTCTTGTTCATTGAAGTTTTCTCAGATATTTGCTTTTCTAAGCAAATATCTACAAAGCAAGTACTTACAAAGCACAAAAGATATTCTGTTTTCTGAAGAATTTAAATCTAGTTTGGGAAGCAAAATGAAGAAATGCAGAATAATCAATAAATAATACAAGACTGAATGTGTATACATATATCCAAGTGCGTGAATATTTTTATATTTTAGCAATTAGAAAATAATGTAAGGCTGCATATTTGTATACACATACATGAATATATTGGATTATCTATGAGTAGATAAGCAATTGACAAACATTGCAAGGCTATGTTTGCATATATACATGTGTATATGTGTGTGCGGTTGTGGGTGTATTCCCAGCTATTGAGGGAAACAGCAAGAATAAATACACCAACGCCGCTAGGAGAATTAGTGAAGTGTTTGCATAGAGGGGAGAGAGAGGTGAGGAACTTGGTTTGCTCAAAGTAAAAAATGTATTAATGGGTACACAAGAAATATATTTGGATGTACAGTAGGTAGACAATCATGGTGGGCCATGAGAACCCATTTGTAAGTGTTTAGCATTTACATGGTAGAAATTAGTGTGTCACTGAAGATTTTTTTGAACAAGAGCAACACAGTGAAGATGGCACTTAAGAGTGACAGTTCCAAGAGGTAGAGGCAAATAGGAAGTATGGAAAGCCAGACAGCAGGCCCTGCTGAATTCCAAACCCACTTCGAGGCAGGTGCAGGGACAGACAGGGACAGGCAAGGATGAGGTAAGAAGAGAGGAGATGGCTTCCAGGGAAAGACTCAAAGCACCTTGAAGGAAAATTCCATCAGCTCTGATAAATACGAGTTGTGTGTAGAGGGAGGTGGTCAGGAATGCTAACTCAAACACATTCCGAAGAGAACCAGAACTTCATGGAAACCTTTCTGGCTATGTGCCTGCTTACCTTTAGAAGCCTAAGGACTTCCTT